ATAAAATTAATCGTGTCTAAAAATATCCCGCGATCTAGTGGACAGTCCCGTATCTTTAATTCAATGAACATTTTAATCATAACATAACAAAACGATAAATCATTCAGGTGTTAAAACATACCGGTTATGAATGTAAACGGTTTCAATGACAACCGTGTGACGTAATACAATAAACGTTGAGAAGAAAAAGCGAAAAACTTGAAAATTTTTATTCAAAATGTCGTTAGAATCAGGGACCGTTAATAAATCAGCAATTGACAACTTGGTTAAATCCTCCTGGGAAAGTGACAAGTTGTGCTTAAGACTTAGATGGATTCCTTACGGGGAAATCACCGACGTAGAACAAACTCAAATTGACAATGTCTACTATGCTATTCGTAAATATTCGTCATATCGTAAAGTGGAGGAAAAGCCGATAACGCTGGTATTCCTTGGAAGTAGCGAAGTGTGTACACCAACAATTTTGAATGAGTTTGCTAGAATATACTCACTCCCGACACACAAGTATAATAATGATGACAATAACTTTAAAAGATATCCCGCATGGCTTGTGGGTCGCAACAAACTGATAGAAGGATTCACCAAGTCTAATGACAACTATTATTACATGGTTGCTGATAAAAAGTTTTATCATTGTTATTCACTCTACGAATTCTGCACCGCATGTGGAATACTACGGTGCAGCCCTGTGTGGTGCATTTGCAGTCATAAAGAATTATCCGATGGATGGACCAGCAACAATATGCGACTCGACGAGTTAATCAAGAAAACTCAACTACAAACAAACTCTGCAAATGATGCCTATTTGGAATGGATTCCATTCGATCGTATTCGTGATGAGGGACAATATGGGTTATACTTGGATCATGCAATGATTGAATTGATTCCACTTGAGATAACAGATGAGACACAGATTTATATTAAACTGAGGTAAACTATTTACTGGTGTGTCATATTTATTGAATAGTTTGACTTATTATTATGCATTATTTACGCTAGTTATGTGATAAGCATCCAGATATTTTTACCGTGGATGTTTGGGTTACCATCGGATTTACATATGACGCAAGTAAACAAAAGTATTGTCTAATACAACCAAAGTATGGGGATGGATTATGTCTGGCGTGTACGGGGCAGTTAAGCTCCAAGATAAATGCATTCTGTTATTTATGTAAAGCACCACGACCTCTTAATTGGACTACTGGCGACAAATCACTGGATTTATTTATTATGGAATCATGGAAGAATATGTATAGCAGCCGAGATGCATATATACAATGGATTGAATACTCCCTTTTGACAAACGTACAAGAAACGACATCATTACGCCATGGATGCACACATGTAGCAGATTGGACAACGACACGTGTGTCACTCAAAAAGTTGTTAACAAAGAAAATGATTTCCATCAGGTAAATTGTTTAAAGTAAGCGTAAATTATTAACGTGTATCGCGTGCTAATACTAAACCTAGCTTATCGTATTCTGTTTGTTCAATAGCTAACTAGGGAATATCCAGATATATTGACCCAAGATAATATTTGGATAATTGGGATTACGCGGGATCCATCTACTTGGGAATATTATTTAGTCTTCTACCAAGACGTGCACTCACTGTTGGACAGGTTTATACGAAATAATGCACATTTAAAGCACATGCAGTATAGTGACTTTGATGAAGTTAAAGAGATCGGATCTGGCGGTTACGGATCAGTTTATACTGCCAAATATAGAAATTATACAGAAGTAGAGCGTATGAAAGAAACTGTTGTACTCAAACGGTTTAAGAATTTTGATGAAATGCCGGAATTATTTATTTCAGAGGTAAGCAATAATTGGTACGATATATGATACTATTAAAGTGACATTAATGTAACACTGTATTTATTTTCAATTAACAGTTCCGAAATCATGCCAAGTGCATGCATGGTGATATCTTTTTCCTTAAAATTTATGGAGTCACACAAGACCGAGAAACAAAAGAGTACATGATTGTTATGCAATATGCTAACAATGGTAGTCTCTTGTCTTATTTGGATCATAATATTAACAAATTTACGTGGAGAATGAAATTAGAACGTTTGAGGGATATTGCAAGCTATCTGTATACTATGCATGACATGGGATTAGTGCATTGTGATCTTCATGGCGGAAACATAGTTTTGCATCATGACGACAACAATCAGTCAGTACCATTAATATGCGATCTTGGTCTGTCTCGATCAGTGAATTCAGATGAGTCAACCATTCGAGGCGTTTTGCCCTTTATTGCACCGGAAGTCTTTCATACCCGCAAGTTTACGGAAAAGTCAGATGTGTATTCTTTTGGTATCATTGTGTATTTAGTTGCAACTGGTGAACCGCCTTTTAGAAATCGGCAATTTGACAGAAATTTAATATGTACCATTATGGACGGACTACGACCATTGATGCCTGATTCCGCACCAGAGAAATACAAGAAACTTGCCGAGCGGTGTTGTGATGCTGATCCTGATAAGCGTCCTAATGCGTTGACACTTTGGCGGGATATTAAAGGGCTTGTTTATGAAATTGATGATTATGACAACATGTGGAATACTATCTATCATAACGATGTCAAACCATTGTCACGTCTCGAGAAGGAGAGTAAATATTCTAGTACGCTCTTACCTACTGGAGGTTTGCCCAAACCAAGAAACAGTTATAGTTACGATTCCCATCAGTTACCTCCCTTATCAGATTGAGCTTGTCGAATGTCTATGAGGAACAAAAGAGTTACAGAGACAGCAATTAGCTCCGTTTGTATAAACAAGGTCAATATACAATATTTGTTTAGCATTCTTTAAATAAACATAAACATTTTAATATGAAAGAAAATTGTGCGCGTTTCCTGCTACTACTTTGTCGGGTAGATCATTTGAATATCTTGGGGTAGACATTGTCGTTATTTGTGGATTCTAGTTATATCGAAGTTCGGTCTATTTTAACAAATTTCGTTATGGCATTACTGTATATAGCAATCTGACCAACACATAAAGTTGTAACGGCTCTTGATAATCTTGTCCTATTTTGTCAGCAGCAAGATTTAAGCATTGACATTCAATTATATAGTCAGTTAAAGCAAGTGCGTAAACAAATTGTTGTAGAGAATTTTATCAATCAGTAGAGAAACAAAACGGAACGTACAAAAGTAAATAAATAAATTCCGCTTTTACGAATATTACGCGATTATATAAACAGATAGAAGTCTGTATTAACAAAGGTTTGGCGAAATGGAGCTCTTTGTTAAAACGGATTTTACTGTGTAAAGGTTGTTCTTATTAGACTTGGTACGCCCCTTTATGAATGAGCAATGCCACATAAGCCATTCGTTATACCGTCTAAACTGGCGAAAATGAAAATCTTAGAACATTCTGGCAACAAGTGCTGCTGTAAATTCTTCGCCGTTTTCAATGAATACCAGCATTGTTTTTGTTACGTTGCGAATCGCGTAGTAGACGTTGTCGATTTGGCTTGATCGTACGGTGATTTCGGAGTAAGGAATCCATTCAAACGACATGATACTGAATAAAAAGCAACGCGATTATTCTTAGCAGTTTAAATAATCGAGTTTGATTTCATAATTACTTATGGAGATAAAAATACAATAATAGTTTGTCATGCGTCTTTTCTGGTACGGTTTAAACCACAACTTTAAAGTTTTCATGAATTCAACCAAATAACATTGTCGTATGTGTAACTAGACACAAAACAATTAATACGATTAATGTACAGCATTAACATTTGGCATAAACAATAACTATTCAAGTGTTTTCATTTACTATTATCGTATTGCGTGAACAAACTTACTGGAAAGCATGTGGGCTAGAATATTGTACACTTTTATTTCAAGACATTTTTTACTCAAGAAGATATTTTATTTAAATGTCAAAATTTAATTATTCTTTCCATTTGCAGAACATGTTCGCTCTTTTCTTACTAATCTTGTTTTGCCTTATTCATATATATATAGTTGGTAACTTTGCGCATTGGTATATAATTATTTGAATTGTTTTGGACTTATCGTTTTTTTAAAACTGCTTTTTTACAAATTTACTTTATTGTCGACTTGTCAACGTGTCTTATGAAATGGAAAAGAGCACCAGTAAAAAATCATTAATACGCCTACATACAGAATATTCTTTATTATAAATTAACATAATGCGCAACATATTGTAAAATACATCTAAATAAACCTCGTGTCTTGAAAGATCAATCCGTTCGTAAGCAATTTAGCTGAACGATAAAATTTACCTTTTCGTAATTGAATACAAATTTATAACATTTTGTCAAAATTTCGGTCATTGAAAAATGTCCCGTGATATCTTGAATTTATTATTCCTTGCAGATTATGAAAATGGTTTAATATATCATCGACTTCGTCCATTCCATCATACAATATTTTACCCGATCCTTTTCAACAACAATTACCACCTCACACGTAAGCACAAGCTATTTAATTCTTTAACCATGCACTTACCCACATTCTACTCCATTCATACATTAGAAGCATTCGTTGTCTAAACATGCTTCATTACTTAACGTGATAAGATAGTAAATGGAATCGATAAAACAAATCGGGCATAATATAATTTCAACTAACCTGTTGATACATTCATCAATTTAATGTACTAACATTAACATTCGAACAAGTTTGGATACATAATTGTTTACAATTAAAACAAACTACCGTTGTCCTTGTATAACCGCTTCTACCATGCGAACTAAAGCCAAACGCATCAAAACAAAAGACTATCTACAATACAACATTCCAACAAGTAAACCCTAAATTCCCCAGACAACAGATACCGACTCTGCGAAGCGTATCCCAAGCATCGCTAGTTTGGGAAATAAAATTGGCGCTATAACATGCCCAACGTTGGTTGCCTTATTAAAGGTAAATAATGTACATTGCATAAACTGATCAATTTGATTGTTCAGATAGATACCAATTGTATTTATTGTGTTAAAAAATAATCAGCAATGTTCTTTTACAACATGTTTCGCATGCATATTAGGCAAATTATTTCACACGTTGTTAAAGGTTTGCTATTGTAATCTGGTATTCTTTTCTTTCTTGCAACGATAATTCCAGTAGACATAATGTCATCTATTTCATAGACCGGTTTGACGTTGCTATAAACCGAATAACAAAGTTACTACGTGTCGTCCCTAAAGAGCATTATAACGAATATTAGATTATTATTGTCGTGCCCTGCATGTAATATGTTGGCTGTATTATTCATGGTTTGTAAACAGGGCAGCAGTTTGATATGATAAGCTATTACAATGCAATGCAACCAAACAATGAGTTTGTAACTATTGAAGCTTTCATTACACTTTCCCACGATTAACTTTGAAGTAGCTTTTACGGAATTTCCTATAACTGAGCTAGTGCCAAGAATTGTAGACGAGAGGTTTAACTAATTTCGTAAGACAATATATTCTAATTTAAAGGCGCTGTCGGGCAGGAAAGCACTAAGCTTACTGCTGACAACTAGTATTCTTAACGTTAATCAGTCTTGTATGCGCTATCAATATTACATCTACTTTTTTTATGAGATTGGTTTCAAAAGCTTACAAGTTGGAAAGTTATTCTACACTAAACAGCGTTAATCATATCCCACGAAATCGATGGCAAGCTCGACGCCCATTTACTGTCGGCGCGAGCAAGCGTTATACACTTTTGGCGACGATAGAAACTTCACCAGGAAATGAACGAGACAATTATAATCGTACACTGAATTGCTGATTTTACTAGAATAAATGAACTATTCTTAAGCAAGGGATATAAATTTCGCAAACTTGACTATCTGGCAGCATTTGTGCGCCGTCACACAACGAATCGAGTGCATAGTTTTTTAAAGCGCATAGCACAGTCCATTTCGGATGCCTTCTGTACTTTTCCGGCTTCAGTCTTGCATTCTGAAAAATTTTTTTTTTACTGTATGTGATACTCGTCATTATACTAGAATGAAAGAAGATCAATATAAGTTATATCACAGAGCAGCTGAACAAGGAGACGCCATTGCTCAATATATTCTTGCATTACGTTATGAAAATGGAACTAGTTGAATGGTATAAAAAAGCTGCTGAACAAGGATATGCCAGTGCTCAATTTAATCTTGCTGTACATTATGAAAATGGAATTGGAGTAGAAAAAGATGAACAGCAAGCAGTTGAATGGTATAAAAAAGCTGCTGAACAAGGAGATTCCAGTGCTCAATTTAATCTTGCTGTATGTTACAGAGATGGAACTGGGATAGAAAAAGATGAACAGCAAGCAGTTGAATGGTACAAAAAAGCTGCTGAACAAGGATATGCCAGTGCTCAATTTAATCTTGCTGTATGTTATGACAATGGAACTGGGATAGAAAAAGATGAACAGCAAGCAGTTGAATGGTACAAAAAAGCTGCTGAACAAGGAGATTCCAGTGCTCAATTTAATCTTGCATTATGTTATAAAATGGAACTGGGGTAGAAAGAGATCAACAGCAAGCAGTCAAATGGTATAAAAAAGCTGCTGAACAAGGAGTTGCCAGTGCTCAATTTAATCTTGCTGTGTGTTATGACAATGGAACTGGGGTAGAAAAAGATAAACAGCAAGCAGTTGAATGGTATAGAAAAGCTGCTGAACAAGGATATGCCAGTGCTCAATTTAATCTTGCATTATGTTATAAAAATGGAACTGGGGTAGAAAGAGATGAACAAAAGGCAGTTGATTTATATCAGAGTGCAGTAAAACAGGCACATTTATCAGTGCTAGTTAAAAACAATAAGCATTATAGTAAAGCAGTTGGATTAAATTTTGGAATTGATTCAGTAACTAGTTTGTGTCAATTAGCAGCTAAAAAAGGAAATGTTTATGGACAATATATTCTTGGTTTGTATTATGAGAATGGAGTTGGGGTAGAAATGAATATTAAAAAGGCACTTGAGTTATATGAAAGTGCAGCTGAACAGGGATATAGTAAAGCACGAAATAAGGTATATACTTTTTATGAAAATGGGTCAGAAGTGAAGGAAAAAATTAGACAGAAGATTGAGTTAATAAAAAGTAGTTTGATAGCAGATTAGCTATAGATATAAAATTGAAAAGTGTTATTATTAATATTGACAAAATGATATTTGTTATATTAATATTAGGGAGTAAATTGCTGAAAAGATTTAATTGATTTATTTAACAAATATATTGTAAACTATCTTATTATCGTAAGTTATGTTTTGTATTAGTATTAGTATGGAATATGAGTATGGTTTAGATTTGACTGGTATTAGTATGGCACGGGAAATTATAACTTGACAATATTATAAATTGTTTCAGGTGTTAGTGACGATTGTAATAACCAGTTTTTTATTCACTTCAGATTTATTTGATCATCAAAAATTCATTGGATGTATTTTGGTGCACTTGTATCATGAATGCTTGGTGATAACATCCTGAATTCTATTTGGTATTAGTATTGATCGCACCATACCTTTTCCGAAATCGCTTCCCAAATCTTTCCCACTACCTTTTGTAGTTCACCAACACTTGAAGGCTGATAATTGCGTTTTCGAATTCCTACTGAAGCCCACAAGTTCTCAGATCAGGACTTTAAGAAGGCCATGGAAGCACCTCTATATTTTGAGAGTGAAGAAACTCTCGTGCAATCTTCGACGTGTGGACGGTACATTGTCTTCCTGAAAACTGAACTTTTTTCTGGTTTGCTGGGAAAATGTTTGAGTGTGGGAATTGCATAAGTGGAAAGTATCTCTGGCATACGTTTAGCAGTATATATTGGAGTTTTCCGTCTTGATAGCCTTCGATCTTTGCCGTTTTTGGCAGTCGATCTGATCGTTTTTTAGAAGGTTATAAACTGCAAGATATCTTGTAATTGTTGCATGATAACATCCTACAACTTTTGCAATGTCTGTATTATGATGACTTGATTTTTTGACTGCAATAATGCTTTTTTTTTGTACAAAAGTTAATTCTTTACCAAGATCCATTACGCGAAAAATTGAAATGATAGAGATTTTTAAACCCAATTTTTGCTACCCGTAAACGATTAAACCAAAACAATAAATAACAATCCATTTAAGTGATATAGGCAAATATGGTATAAAAATTATAAGCATTAACAAATTTATTAAATTAGTTAACTTTCGACCGTGCAATACTTTTGGTACCCCCCTGTACATAGTTTTTTTTGAACCTCAATAAATAGGTTGCGCGACTTACACTATACATTATTACTATCTGCTTGCGGGTCATTCAATTGCTACAAATGCTTTGCTAATGTTATTTATGGCGAATAAGTCTGAAAGAGTTATACATATACACACGCGGATGTAATGTTTATTATCACAACTGTCCGATAATCCCCTTACAACATACTCTTCCGCATTATTAAAATCTCTTCTTCCAAATTTTCTAGTCTATTTAACAACCTGATACTAACGCTTCTTGTAATTAGCTAGCTCGTTATGACTCAGTAATTAATTAAACGAACTAAATAATAAAGACAGTAAATTATCTACTTTTAAAGTTTCTAGATCTCGTTTCCTTCTCACCTCAGCGATTTCTGCCGCGCAAACTGTTGTAAACCGACCTTAATTAAAAAGAATTAAATTGCAGGCTTGGACATTCTCCTCTGCACAGGTCCACTGTGTCTCTCGCTCACACTAGTCGCAACTGACTGTACCAACCCATCGCCTTCATTATCTATCCTCTCAACAGTCTCATTAGAATCATCACTATTTACACTTTCATCATCAACAGCCTCGACAGTATTAAAGATTGATCCACGTTCGCCGCTCGCACCGTTATCAACAAAACCGACTGTTCTTTTATGTTCATTTGTAGAACTTTTAGATTTCCCCCCATTACTGCGACGAGAATCAAACGGGTTGGAGAATATTGGTTGCAAAGATTCATTGATAAATGTCGGATTAATCTCTTCTACCAAAAGTCCAGAATTCTCACATCCGTGAAGCTCACTTCCACCATGTTGATTTCCCTTCTCTATCAGCGCATCCCGATCAGTGTGGTTACTTTGATCCTCGACGTTACAGCCGCCCTTTTTCCCCTCTTCATCATAACAATATTCATATTCACAATCGTATCTGTCCTCATCTTCCTCGACCTCCTTGACCATTCTTCTAGCAACAAACCAAATGTATACTACTACTCCGATGCCAATGACAATACCGACAATTCCCATAGCTATTTTTAATATATCGGCTGTCGACAATGGGGAATTAGAGATGTCACCTCCGCTCCCATCACCTTCATGTCCCTCGCTCGAGAAATGAGCCGAGAATGAAGATAGCGTCGACCCAATGTATACGTGAATTACAAGTTTGGAAAGAGAGAGTGCAGTGGCGCATGCAAAAGTATGGAGAGGAATATTGGTAGCAGAAAGAAGTGTGTTGAAAACATTGTAAGGGTAAGGAGCTAGACGTATTAGGAACAAGAGCTGCGTTTTTGTTTCGAGAATGGATATACAATTTTTGTGGATGGGAAGGAAAACGAATTAGTAGATCATCTTATCCATATAGCCTTTTTCAGACTTGTTCTATTGCTAATAATAGAGACAACGACCCACAACACGCGGTTGCCATACCGTAACTTAAATACATCACACTCAATCTTCATTCGCCCTCTCCCCTGCTTACCTTAAACCCTTTCTTCTCGATTGCTCTGACAATACCTCTCATGTGCTTGTTCTTTCTCAACAATTTCCTAACCGACGCGTTACCCCACTTTCTCGAAATCGCAAACACAGTAACCCCCCCTGATAATGCAGCGAAATAGGAAATTATAAATCCACGAAAAATACCAAATGTAAAGCCGGAAAGAGTTATCAAAGTTGAATAGCCGATGACGAGTGGAAAAGTTGTGATATATATTAGAGCATAGAGAATCATGGCTCCGCTGTGTAGATAGAAAAGAAACATTTTCGAAAAAATGAGTGGCAAATCTTGGGGCTATACACATATTTACTGTTTTATATTCTATATACTGTCCATGTCCCCCCTCCCCCCAATCCCTCAGTTACCTCTGCTATTCGCTCTCCATTTATAAAACCGCCTTTTTCTCCGTCTACTCACCCAATACCCAATTCCTTGACATATTCTGCCAATCTTTCAAGTGCTAATATGACTTCCATTCGATAAATGACAACGAAACATAATGTACACAGCGATATCACCGCCCATGTAATCAACGGTGCCCATGGTTGGAGGATGGTTAAAAACGAACTCAACTTTCGATTTGGTTTTGGATCTGAATCAATTATATTGATGGGGGGAGAAAAGTCAGCAAGAATTTTTCAAATCGTGTTTAAGAAAAAGGTTGGAGGTTGACTTACGAATTGACGCTTGGTTATGTACAGACGAAGACAAGGATGATAGTACTGGTATCGGTAATGTGTTTGGATTTTGTTTATGCTCTTGGTAGTCATCAGGAAAGGTTATTATTGATGCGGAAGAGGAAAGTGAAAATGCTTTACGATGCTTGATTTGTTTTATCGGAACGGTCGGTTCTTGTGATACGGGTGATGTCGGTGAAGATACAGGTGCTGGTACAACGGCTGATGATGATAGCTTCCCTAATGTAAGCGTTGTTGCTGATTGACTCAAACTTCTCGAATGCGTCGAATTCGATTTATTCGACTGTCTATGAAATGTCTGTGCATGGTGAACTGGTAATGTAGGTGACTGCAGCCTATCGGGTAGAGACGACGATGCGCCTACTGCTTGTGAGTTGGTTTGGGTTGATACGGAGAGTGCGGTCGGGCGTGTTTTCAGTAATTTAAACATGTCCGGTTTGCCAGATTTTCAAACAAGTTGGTAGCGGGATAAAAAGGAGGGGAAGGTTTTGTATTAGTAAAGAGCAATAAATGGTATGTAGGGGGAGGTGAGAAGGAGAGAGATGGGGGAAGACGGAAGGGGTTTGCCGCTTGTTTATAAATTAATATTAATACATTAAGATATAATTAACAATTTTATTTTTCTCCTCGGGTAGCATGGTAATGACATATCTCGGTTGAAAGACCCGATCGATTACTTTTTGTATCATCCTGCAGAATGGATTATGATTAAGGGACCTACCACAAAAGTAAGCATCTAATAGTTTGCCGTTTAGTGTTACTCTACAGTGCATTATCCAATCGTGTAAAATTGTAGTTACAAAGAAAAGTTGCACATATTTGTATTGTTGTTACTTTACAAAGCCGATGTATGACGCGACGTTATTTGTGGTGTTCTGTTTAATATGAAGATATTATTGTAACATCTTGATAATCAAATTATAAACATTGCTTCAAACTCGGCGAGATTGTATCTCTGGGTAGCCGAGAAAATTTATAGTGATAATGTGCCCTCGATTTGTTAATTATAAGTACAGAATTACCAGCAGTCTATAATAGGAAAAGCAGAATCTTCGCTCTTTAGCCATCTAATGCTTGTTACGATGTAACCAAAAACGTTCTAGTCATTATTTAACAAAACAAATATTAATATGTACTCTTTCCTAACATTCGATTTCAACATTATCACCTTATCCTACTAATATCAACGTCGACCATACTAATAAAAATGACACATGGTCACGTGATATAAGTGCTGCGTCCCGTGTTGCTTTTCACCCGATATCCAAAAACTGAGGGTTTCGCCCAATCTCATAGAAGACAGTCAATGAGACATTAGTGACTAATTCCGGTTGGAATAGTCCTCCATTGTTGTCTCTCATCCGGCGTGTTAGAGACTTTGGTTATTTCCGTGATTACTTTTAAGAAATTTGGTTCAAACACTATATTTCAAATATGGGTTCAGATACTTTATTAAGCTAAATGTGATTCAAACAATTCCTGGCGAGAGGGAACTTTCTATTACGAAAGATTTTATCTTCTTCTACCATGAACGAAGATACAATAAGACAATACTCAATTTAACACGAGTGTTATCGCATAACTGAAAATAACAATTAATTCACTTGAAAAAACCACGTGTCTTCCGCATAATCAGATCCCAGCTTGTGCACAAGGTAAGCACGCCCGATGGGTAGATTATTAGCGCCTGGTACAGCGTGTTTGGCATATGGAATGCGTTTGGAATGACACCATTAACAAACATGGTGTCTCGAACGAAATACAGCTCTTGAAGTGGAAAATACAACGACTGTTTTCATCTCTGCGTCCCCTAGTGAGCATCATTTTTAAGTATTAGATATCTTGACTCATCGCTGAAAATTACTTTATCCCATTTGCTTGCTAAGTTTCTGGACGTAGTCCTTGAGGGTTCGACCCCTTCTCTTTCCGAGTTAAAGGCAATAGTGTTCTCGCCTATTACTGCATTATAAGCTGCCAATCCGTGAGCCGCGATCCACGCTTCGTTTGGCGTAATAGCTAACAGAGGATCATATTCGTCAGCGTTTGAAACCTTGACAACTCCTGGATGAGCTGCTTCAAAGAGAAAATGCTGATATTTTTGTAAACCATTCAATTTTTTAAAGAAAATTTCCAACACCGAATTAAGCTGTTTCGTATATTTCTTAACGTCGGCGCTTGATGCATCCGAAAAGAGCTCTTTGATTACTTCTTTGATGGTCGGGAATGGTTCAAGTTCTGTAATGGAATAGCAGAGACAATTAGAATGTCGTCCAAGTATTGGGGCTTTCAAATAGATCTTTCCCGTTGCTTTCTTTCGTTTTAAACATTTTCATTGAAAAGAGAGAAATGGTGATTCGAACTTGTCTATCATTCCTACTCATTTTATAAGTTTTGTCGGGTCTTAATTACATTGATACATTCGAACATTTGCAACCCCTGTCACAAGGAGTACAATCATAAGGCTCCAGGAATATACATACATATGCTTCGCCATAATTAACAGGAGTTTGAATACACGTATATCACAGCCTCAATCTTGTCCTTGTTTCTAATTATAGTACATTAATATTATTTATGTAATATTGAATATTTCTAGTAAGCTTATTATTATTGGTATGCACTGAATTGCACATGTTTAGTACTGGTATAGAAGACAAATGAATCGAATCAGGGGGCAGCTTTCACATTACTGCGCCAAGCATGTCGTTGTCTACCCACAGCGGTCGTGTTATCGCAGTTTTCACAGCAACATCACGGATGTCAAACTGCCAAAATCAATTTAGATTCTTCAAGACACTAATTTCAAAGAAATCCCGTTGAAAGGTTTAGAGCAAATAAATTTAACTCATTTGAAAAAAAGAGAATATATTTGTACAAATTTTCTGCCGGTTAAGATATCATTCCGCGTGACTCTGATGGTGACACAAAGAGATTTTGTGTGGTGATTGCTTAGAAAGTAAAAAAGAGGAAATGCCCTCCTTGCGAAGGGCAGAATTTAACAGATATCGGAAGGTGGGGAGATTGTAACTATTGTAAAAACCAAAAAGAGAATTTTTAGGATCCTACAAACACATATATAAAAATACACGAATAAAACACACGCGACGGGGGAAAGGCCGCACGAGACTGAAAAAAATTATGCTTCCAATGTCTTGTTCTGGGATGCGCGCTAATTAAATTGCCAAAATGTAAATCGCAACCAGGATGTAAATTGCATTTCTAAAAACAGCGTAACAAAAGAATAATTAGTAATTAGATAGACAAACGGTAAGCCACTCAGTTAACCGTTAGACAAGTACACCACCGGTTAACCTTTCCGTTATACGGATTAGCGATTTAACAATGTAAAAATAGTCAAGGGATAAGAATAACAAAAAATTGGTCGCACTCACTTCGAGAATGTCAGAAATTACCTAGCAACAAATGATATAGGTCGCGTGTTATGGTAATATTAAACGAGTGCCGAAGTGAAAACCAAATAACAATTGATAAAGACATTGCTATAGGCGTGAAGAATGTTAGGCCAAAATCAAATTCTGGTACATAATACGTAGTATCTAATTTATTGCATGGAGTACGCGCTTTGCGCGATATCTTATACTCACTGGACAAAAGTATTGGGAATTTTGTCGATTATTATGCAGGATGCAAAAAAGAAATCACTTTGAGATTGATTTATGCGATAACGAACTAAGGATACTTTATTGATTTTTATATCATTTAATTCGTTAACATTTGCTTTATTCAATAAACTAATTAGTATGATGTAAATTTCCTTTGGCTTTTATGACAGCTTGTATATGACGAGGCATACTATTCACCAAATTTGCCAATATTTCTCCTTCAAGACCATACCATTCTTCCGTCAGTGCTGCAAACTATTCATTGAGGTTTCTGGGCAAATTTTCACGTTTTCTCACTCTTCTCTTTTCTCTATATAGAAGAGACATCATATCAATGTCATTATCCTCTTTAAAGCGCTCCACTTCTGCTGTCCGATGTGGCCTGGCATTATCATCTTGGAAAATCCATATATTGGATTCGTCTAAACTCTCTATAAATGGGAACAGCTGTTCTTCAAGGATGTTTCTATAGACTTCCCCTGTAGTCAACCCGTATTAATAGACCGACTCTTTCGGGTAAAACAACCACACACCATCACGCCAGGAGAATGAGCGGCTTTCGGGACTAAACAATTTACATCGTATTTCTCATGCGCTTGCCGCCACACCCATTTATGAGAGTCATTTGCAAATAAAACAAATTTTGGTTTATCACTAAATATTATTTCATTCCACTCGTATAACCAGGCATTGGTAAATCTTGCAAAAAGAGACGCTTTTTTCTGTTACGCTCTGTAACTAGAGGCTTTCGTTTACCTGCACGAGCATGGTAACCTTTTTCATACAGAGCTCTGCGCACAGTTTTTTCACTGACTGGCTTCAACAGAGCGTGGTTTAGTTCTACAGTAAATGATGCAGCCGTTCCTCTTCTGTTTTTCTTGGTTATACGCACCAGCGAACGAACATTCCTCTCCGAACGCACATTGGCTTCTCGTCATATTTTCAACTGTATTATTGTTATTAAACTTTTGTATTATGTTCGGACTGTCTTATATAAAATTTCCTAATTTTTGGCAATTTTACACCACACTTATAAGCTCCAACTATCTCTGCACATTCAATAATAGATAATTCTCGCGTTTTGACCATTTTCTCAAAATAACAACAATATGGTTTGAAATTTTCTTTATTCACAGAGCGGTGCGCATTTTTGCGGTTCGAACACATGTTCTATGGATCACTGCATCGTTCACAATGCGTTTTTAAAGTCTTAGTATTGTAAGTATATTCCCAATACTTTTGTCCAGTGAGTGTAATAGTATTACTCGATTCTACAAATTATTATTTTTTTTCCCACATTGTAAAATGTATATCAAAATTGGACGAAGTCAGTGCACTTTGTGCATTAAAATTAAATCTCGTTACAAGTATACTAAAAACCTAAAAGCTTACTTTTATAATAATCGACCAAGTTGTTTAGGATGACATTAGATAGACAAATTTGTGGACGCTACACTCCTGAATATGAAGAATGGAATAAATTTTGCTGGATGTCACAAGTACATATTGGAGAAACTCCTGATGAGTGGAAAAAACGGTGGGAACGCTTAATGTATTTCAGAAATAATAATATCATGGATGTTAATTTCTTGAAGTCAGAACGTTGATACGATTCCAGACAGTAGTTCATACGCTCAACAATAGGAACTGTTATCTGCTTCTCTTGCGATGAGTTAGTATATACTAGCAAATACACATATGTCAAAGCGTATATGGAGAGACATTGGAAAACTTCATGTATTGGTAATAAATAGTGCAAACTAAAATTATGAAGACTTCTTGAAAGTTACACAGAAACCTATTACGAATTATGGATGTCAAATGCTATTAGAAGACTTAAACGAGTAAGGAAGTCAGCGCCATTCGGCAGAAAGAGATGCGAGCATGCATCCTTACCCAACATAAATAGATAGCCATCCAATGGTTTGATTGTCAAGCAATTAGCTGAACATTACAAACTTTTATGGATTATTCGCGAAGCTATACGTCACCAGCAATCTCAGATGAGTCGAAGACTCGAAGCTCTGCTTTTTCTCTTGTTGAGTAACGCCAGAATTTTACGCACGAAGCTCGACTACGTCAAGAGCGAAAAGAATACTCGTATCTATTATTTACCTGGTTATATTTGAAAATATGAAAGCACATGGTTCATTAACGGACTCTGATGCTTCGTAATATGAACCGGACTTGCAAAAAGACAGAAAATCCGGAACATCACATCAATATCCCGTGCGCCGCATTTGCGGCTTTATGACAATAAAATACAATGCTAAGGCTTCTTACTCTACTTACTTGTTGATAAATATGTAAATAAGACGTAACATATAATTTATTTGTAGTAGTCATATAATATACGTACAACATAGTTTCCGTCCGCGTCTTTTCTCTGAAGACTTTTTTGGTTAAAAATTAATTCGGTTTAATTTTGACATAATTTCGTCGCTTCGCTTGTTAAGAATGTCTTACGAAAATCAGATTATTTACAACAACGATAATACTGTTTTAGTTTCTTTGGCCGAGCAGCTGAATGGTATATTGTAAATCATTTCCTTTTGAGAAATGCGATTGGGTACCTTGGTGCATAATTACATTAGATGGTAGATGTACGCCCTCGAATCTTTATATGAAGTGCATGGCTTGTGTTTAGATAAGATAAGCGCGAATATGAATACACTCTGACTAAACATCGATGCATGTCATTACCATTCTTTAAATCGTCTGGTAAATTGTAATTTACACAATTTGGTTTACATGTACCAATCCCTCCACATAGGTGTTGGCACTTATTTCCATCGTCCGTACAATACATTACCCAGTACCAACATAATCTACTCCTATATGAATATTGCCTACTCGACTTTGTCCTTTTCTGTCAAGAATACGGATTGGACGCGAGGAAATATGACGCCATCCAACCTGTTTTCCGTGATCAATTTTATCAGATCTGATTCGGAAATTAACACTTTCCAACTTCTAGTCTTCATGAACGTGTCCTCTCACATAATTACTGCTCTTGAAATAATTTAGAAAAATACGTTCTATTTGCGCGAAAAGACTATGTCAAATAAAATACACGAATATTTCGATACCGCATATTCCCGATGGAATATTCGCGATTCTTTTGGATAAATGTGATTAGAACCACTCGGACAGAAGACAGATTGTTATGTTAGGTGTCTTAAGACCATTGCTAATCGCGAGACTGATCGCAGGCGTGAAAAAGCACAGGAACTACTCGACAGGTATACGAAGGCGAGTATATCTTTTTTTTGAAAATGTAGATAGAGAATAGGTGACGCGTCTAGGATTTACGAGATCCCCTGACGTTCAAGGTTCCGAGCCGAGTCACGAAGCCAGTGTTGGAGCGTATACGACTTACGAGGTTGTCTCACGTTCAAGGTTACAAGCCGACCTGGCAGGAAAAAAAAATAGATAGGACATGTTATTGTATAGAGAACATTATTAATTTTCTGAAAGTTTTTTCATTCAGGGTACTCGACCAGATCGTCAATTAGCAAGAAATCGGGATAAAGAACGTTCTTATAAGAATAAATCAGCTGAACCTTTAGTTCACGTCCACCATCCAACGTTTATAGGAGGAGGGACTGTTAGTGGGGTTATAAACTCTGAAACTTTCATTTCCGGGTCATCCGAAAAGGATCAGAAAAAGGTAAAGATATTAAACGTTATTTCTAATATTTTTGTGCCATATTCCTGATATTGATTGTATTTTTACAGGATTCGGTTGACAATATCAGCGCCTTCTTCAAAGATCCCTCTGGCGTAAAGGTAACAAAATTTACTGAGAATCAAGTGACGACTCCAAAAAAACATTCAATGAAGAGGTTAAAGTATGACCTTCGCAATAAGTAAATTGATAATATTCATTGCCAATTTCTAATTAATGTGATTCCTTTCTGGGTCGAATATGAATCGCAAAACTCTCCTTCCGTATCTGACAATGGCGATTCGAATTATATGCCAAGGTATATATGATTATCCTTTGAACGATATTCTTCAATTCTTCTTAGACTATAATTTTCTTTGTAATACAAGCGACTCTGACGAATCAACTTCTGAAGAATCGGCATCTGAGGACAATATAAATGGGAAGGATATGATATTGTATTCGTCGATGAGATTACTTACCGTTCCGTTGCGATGGCATTACCGCTCGACGCAGGCGAAGAGTATTATAACATCGTTGAACTAAGTGACAGAGTATGCTTCTCTCACTCCTTAGAAGGAATTGTTTCGTTTTTTGTCTAGATCGTGATGAACGTTGAAAGCTATGGCATAGACGGCTATTATGCTGTAGTTTGTGGCGCTGGTCACATGGAACCCATCACTGAAGCGATGCTGAGAAGAACCCCTCAGGATAGGCCCATCGCGTTTACAATATTAATCAAAATTACTAAGAATCAAACATTTATTATTATCATAGTTGTTCAGAATGTCTGCTTCAGTCATTCTTTTCAGGTTTAATATTTAAATACTGTATTTCTCTGACATGTACTAAATATATGCTGATCAAAGCTGTCAATTTAATATTAAAGCAAAAAATAAAATAAAAAAATTCGAGATAGGTACGCACTATCTATATTAATATGATATGCACAAGTACCCTGGGTACTAAAATAAACTATGGAAATACCCTGGGTACGCATGTCAGAGGAATATGTAGTTTGTCTACCATTAAACTTTGTACTAATACTAATGTTTTAAGACTGTTGCTAAACTACTATCCAAAAACCATTGATTATAGATCAGTCATGGTAGTAGTAGATACTGTATATTGCGTTCTGAGATGAAGAGGCTGAAGCCTTTTGTTTATTTTTATTAGTAGACATGGTAAACTATTTATATAATCTTTTTAGACTCTGTTGATGGAAGGTTTCTATCTTTTACTGCGGAATTTTTGGTTACAGAGCAAAAGGGGAAGAGAGAACTCTTTGAGTAAAACTCATAAAAACAGTAAAATTACAAGAGCCTTTGTGTCACTAAATTATTAGACAATAAAATGATGTTAATATTGTAAGTTGACTTATTTATATCAACATGTTTACTATTACATGTAACCGTACCTGCAGCTGAATCCAAATCATAACTATTTCTCGGTTTAGGCAAAGCTCCAGTAGGTAAAAGTATGCTGGAATATTTACACTCTTTCTCGAAACGTGATAACGCCTTTACATCAGTATGATAGATAGCATTCCACACCTTGTCACCAGATTTATTCTTTTCCACTTCGTAAATAATATTGCAAATATCCCAGTAAAGTGTATGTGCATCAGGACGCTTATCAGGATCAGCATTACAACACCGCTCGGCAAGTTTCTTGTATTCCTTTGGCGCAGAATCAGGCATCGACGGTCGCAGTCCGCCCATAATATCGCATACTAAATCTCTATCAAACTGCCTATCTC